ATTTTCTCTGATAATAAGGGCCTCCCTTCTCTTGAGTGGGTGTGACGGGTGCTTCAGTGGCTGGCACTGGAGGAATAACTCATACTCCCTCCTTCATTGATACAAAACCAGGTGGGCTGGAAGCTACCTTTTTGGAGCGCCGTAAGTTCCAGGAAAGGTGTCCCGTCGCTCCACTGCGCCACTGTGGAGCAGCACACGGTGCTCCGCTGTTGTCAGTGAGCTGAGGAGTCTATCCCAGGTCACATCCTGAGTGACCCAAACTGGATTGTACAGTTCCTTAGGATTCCAGAGGTGGGCGACACTTCAGAGATCCTCAAAATTAATACAGTCGCCACATTTCACAGGGAGATGAACTGAGGCTCAAAATGGTGAGCTGATTTGCCCTGGGCCACACAGCTTGTCATGGAGCAGGGACTGGCGGTGATACTAGTGAACACCGAAGCATTTATTATGTGCTTTTAGTGCTCTAAGTTCTTCACATCGATGATCTCATCTGACCGTTCCTATTTAGTAGTTGGGGACGTGAGTCTCAGAGAGTCTGAGTAACTGGCCACTTGGTGGTGGAGCTGGGAGTGGAGCCTGGGCATTCTGAGTCCAGAGCCTGCTCTCTTAACCACGTTCCTCTACCACCCTCTCCCTGGGGCTTAGTTCACCTGCCTGCTGCCGCAGTGCAGTTTACACCCCAGTAGAACACCCAGAGCAATCACTGTGAGGCTGGCCTTAGGCACGTGGAGATCCAGACCCCAGAGAGGACAAGTGGCTTAGTCCGGGTCACATAGCAGATGAGCTCTTGTTGAGCATTAGATCACCCATTGCGAGAAAGCCATTTCGTCATCCACCTACAATTTTTACCTCCAATTGTTTTTCAAATTCAACACTCAAGGTTTGGGGATGTCTCACATAAACTCTGTTTATTTAGAAATAGTTAAGATCTGAAATGGACTATTTTTAACTTACAGGCAAGTTAAAAGCCTACACTTTTTGTCTGCTTTCCAGAGCCTTGAGATCAGTGCGGATGTTCATGGGAATTGCATTATGGTTGATTAACAGAAGGAGGAATAAGGAAGGATTGTCCCTAGGTACCAAACCGTGGCAGAGGTGGATCTGAGACTCCGTATCCTTGGACCCTTTTGTTATCAGACTCTGAAACCCTTGTCCAGTTCCCTTTGACAAAGCAGAAAGAGGTCAGGACTGAGCGTATGCTGGGTTCTCTGCCAAACGCTTGGGGCGTCCCTAGGAAAGCTAACCTGGGCATCGACCTCCCCAGTTCTTCATAGGCAGGCTCTTTCTGCTGATCTGCCAGCCCCCTATCCTCTCTCTTCCCGTGGGCCTCCTGCATTTCCTCCCTCGTCAGGTCTGTGAGGTGCTGTACCAGGGGCTCGAGGTCCTGGACCCTGTCTCGGCTCTGTCACTTTCTGTCATTTTCCCCTCTGGGCCTCTCTTCCCATGGGGAAAGTAATAATGTCGTGGAGTTATATACCCATATAACTGGGGCAGATCCATTCAATTGGTGAGTGCTTAGCAGTGCTGTCTACTAGATGCTGCTGGGTGTTCTGCAGCGATGGAAATGTTTCATGTCTGTCTGGTACAATAGCCACTAGGCACCGGTGGCTGTTGAGCCTTTAAAATGTGGCTCGTGTGAATGAGGAGCAGAATTTATTTAATTTTAATTCATTTAAATTTAAATACCACCCATGGCTATTGGCTGCTGTATTGGACAGCACAGCTTTGGAGTAAGTGGGAGACAGGAGACAGGAATCTGTCCTCCCCTGGGAAGTCTTGGTCCCGACACGCCTCTCATCTTACTGCAGGGAATGATATTCCCGTTTAAAAGTAAGTGTTTCTCATAAAATCTGGTCTCTAAATGTAATTCAATCCTTTCTTCTGGTGCTCAGCCAAAGAAGCCGAGATTGATTTAGACGCTAGAGGTAAAATTGGCCGCGCTGGACTGAGATGTTCTGGCAGTCTCACCCGCGTGGCGCCTTCCTCAGAGTGACTGGACTACATTTTTGCTTTACAAAATGAAGTTAGAACCGAAGCTACCATGGCAAATTAACCCTTTCATGGGAATCATTGAGGTAATGGATAAGCCGTGGTTCACTGTTCCAATGCTAAGGGCGTCCAGCTGTAGCCCAGCAGTGGGAGAGACAAAATGTCAAACTATATTTGATTACTAACCGGTTAATGATGCGCTTTTCACGACCAACAAGATGAATACCAGTGATAATACCACTGACATGTATGACGTCCCTTTTGTTAAGTGCCTGTGTAACCTCATTTGATATCATGACATCCCTGACGTAGGAGCAATCGGTATCCTCGTTTCGTCAACAAGAAAACTGGGGACTAGAAAGGAGCCATGGCTTCCTCAGTGTCACCCAGCTAGTTAGCAGCAGAGCCAGCATCTGAACACAGGAATCTCATTCCAGAGCCCACAGTCCTCAATAAACCCATGAAGCCCTGGCCTTTGCCCACCCCGTGGAAGGATCAGTTAAATGGGAGGAGTAGGATCTGCGGGCACAGGATGGGTGTGCTCAGTGAAGCCTTCTGCTGTTTGTTTTAGTCAGTGCTGTCTGGCAACCTTGGCAGTGGCTGGCGTGGTGTGGAAGCCGACGGCGACTCCTAATGCAGTGCCCCCCTCGTCTTCGGCAGTTCCTCCCTCCTCACTCTCCCGTGGCTCAGTATCCTGACACAGGGACACCGTCCTTGTGTGGGGCTTTGCCAGAGATCAACCTGCAAACAACTGCTTTTTTTTGCCTGTATGAAAGTGCTGTGGGAAATCGGGTTTATCATGGTATAGTATCTTTCCAGAAGAAGAAGTGTTCCCCCGCCATTTTGTTTCTTGTTAATCAAGTAGAGGTGCTCGAGCTGGAGGTACCCTCAGGGGTAAGAAAGCAGTTGCTTTGAAACGGTCCACCTCCTTTTCTGCTCCATAACCTCGCTCCTTTGGTAGAGACCAGATTGCCCTAGAATGTAATTTGGTTCCTTTTGCTCAGAAAGGTGGAAGTCATGCACCATAGCAGGGAAAGCTGAAAGCTGGGGGATGTAGCCTCAAGATCCAGGTTCCATTCCCACTTCTGCTGACCTTGTGGTGTGACCCAGTTACTTCACATCTCTGGGCACTATTGCTTGGAGATTAGACTGGATAATGTCTAAGTTTTCTTATCCCTGAACACTACAAGATGAATAGGTGCTGAATTTGCTGACCAGTGAGGAGACCCCTCCCAGCTCTAGGCAGTCTTGAACAGGCATGTCCTCTCTCCCTGCAGGCATCTTGGCCATCCTCGTCCCCCGTTTGGACCTGGTCATCTCCCTGGTGGGCTCCGTGAGCAGCAGCGCCCTGGCCCTCATCATCCCGCCCCTCCTGGAGATCACCACCTACTACTCAGAGGGCATGAGCCCCCTCACCATCGCCAAGGACGCCCTGATCAGCATCCTGGGCTTCGTGGGCTTCGTGGTGGGGACCTACCAGGCCCTCAATGAGCTCATCCAGCCAAGCAATGCTCCCATTCTCGTCAATTCCACTCGTGCCTTTGTGTAGTGATCTGGGTGCACCTGTCCACCCCAACCCTCATGTGTCCCCCAGGATCTGTCCCCGGAACCTCAGGTATGGTCTAGGCTCTGGGGAAAGGCAGGGTCGCTGTCTGGGAACCCCTCTACCTGGCCCCTGTGTATCCTGGGCCAGGTAAGGCTGAGGGCAGGGGAGAGGATGGGGCATAGACACGCAGGAGGTACCCATAGTGACAGTGCTGTCATCCTTCATGTGTACTTCGTTTAACCCAGAACTCTTTAACTCTTTCCCCCATCATGCCTCCTCCTTCCTCTGATGCCTCTCACCAAATTACTCCCGTTGCACAGCTCACTTTATTTAGAAATTTTAGTGTTCCCCGCCTCGTGTCTTCTCCTTTCCTGGGCCAGGCCTAGATGAAATAAGTGGGCGCTATTCCTTCTCTCCGTAAAGCCAGGCCTCTTGCTTATCTCCCTCTCAAATATTGTACCTCAGTGTTCTCCCTTTTCAAGTCTCCAGCGGGTGGCTGGACCTCCCTGGTAGTTTAAAACCAGCCTCCCAGGCTGGAGTTTTTAATCTTTACTCTCTGGCTTGCTGTGACCCCCGGGGCAACACCTTCTCTTTTGTGAATTCCTCAGTGTGGGTCACAACACCGTATTCTTAGTTGCTTTAGTTCTTCAAAGATATGAAGTGCTGCCTGAACTGGAAGTATTTATATTTTATTTAAAATTAGCTTTCTGTTTTTAGACTCTGTCTCTAGATCTGGGGTTATTATGACTTGTATCTTCCTCGGGAAACTTTTATTCAGCTTCTCTTGCTGAAAGGAAACCTGCTCTAGGAAATGTCGCTCTTGGCCGAGGACCCCAGGGATTTTAATCAGGATCATCTAAAAGTGTACCTCCGCAGGAGGCGTGGATTTTGCCTTCCTTGGACCAGCCTGGTCTCATGCAGGAAAGCTGTTGGAGAACTCAGGAGATACCGTGAGTGTGGTGTGTTGGGCTGAGGGACGGTGGCCGAGTAGGAGGTGTGGAAAATGGTTGCATCGTGTGTTCAGGCCCATTTTCCAGCCTCAGCCCCTGCCAAGCAAAGGGGATGGCAGCGTTCAGTTGCTATCACGCTGTTGCCACGGATGAGAAGTTAAGGTCAGTGTGCGCAGAAAGTTTGAAATTAAGTTCATAGACTTCACAGCAGCTGGTCTGACACTACTCACGGTGCTTGTTTACAGTCACTGGGGAATGGGGCAGAACCAGGGCCCACGCTGCCTCTGTGCCCTGAACTTCGACAGGAACCACTGAACACTAATTGCAACCTCTGTCTTTCCCCGTCGTGCCTGCTTGAGTGTGGCAAATAGCCCCAGGATGGCTCACCTGAAGGTTAGCCTTCACGTTTGGGGGCAAACTGCAGAGAAGGTGGAGGAAGATACAATTGCCTTGCTTTGGGCTGCCTCTTCTTTCCTCTGGGCGTGAGAAGTATTTCAGAAGGGCATTTGTTAACTCCCCTGTCTTTGGCTGTGTGTGTCTGTATGTATGTAGCAAAGCGGACTCCTCGTCGCCACCCTTGTCACCAGGCTCTTGCTTACCTGGAGATACGGTTCACCCTGAGAGTTGGTTACGGGAGAGCAGCAACAATTGATCAGGGTTTTGTTTTTGTGTTTCACCAAAGCTTGTAAGGGCTGTGAGCCACCCTCGTGGCCCCAGCTTTTCTTTCCCTTCTGTTCCGAAGCCAGTAGAGCTGAATTCAGGTGAAGGGACTGGAAAAATGGACTCTCACTGCAGTGACTCTTAACCCACCTAATGTATTAGGTTATTAAGTATGAAATGTCCGATTTCCTTAAGTACTAAGTTTGACAGTTGATATCTCTGACATTTCACTTTGACACTTCTTATTTTTTGGGTTTTTTTGGGGTTTTTGTGTGTGTGTGTGTGTGTGTGAAGGTACATCCTCATTCTTTCAAACACATGTTTTGGCTTGTGATTATCTTTCAAATTTTTTTTAGAGCAATTTTTGTGAAACCATGCATAAGTCAAAAATTCTTGTTATTGTTTATATGAGTTCCATCGTGGAACCAGTGCAGCACAAACAGCTTGAAATATCGATGATGTATCTGGGAAGGATGTGGCTAATGAACGCACAATAAATCAATGGTTTGAGAAGTTCCGTTCTGGTGATTTTAATCTTGAAAATGAGCCACATGGGCGACCTGAGACCAAGGTGGATAATGATGAGCTGAAAGCTGTAGTGGAAGCGAATCCGTCTCAACCTACAAGTGAATTAGCAGCAAGGTTTGATATTACTATTCCAACAATATTGGGCCATTTGAAACAAATCAGCAAGGTAAAGAAGCTGGATAGATGGGTTCTGCATGAATTAAACAAACATCAGAAGAGAAATTGTCTTGAAGCTTGCCTTTCTTTGCTGTCACGACATAAAGTTGAACCATTTCTACATGGTATTGTATGTGATGAAAAATCGATTCTTTTTGAAAAGTGTTAGCATTCGACACAATGGTTGGATAAAGATGAAGTGCTGAAACAGTCCAAAACTGAATATTCATCAAAAAGAGCTAATGGTGTCTGTTTGGTGGTCCAGCACTGGTATTATCCACTACAGCTTCATGAAACCTGGTCAGTCGATTATAGCGGATGTCTGCTGCAGCCAATTGGATGAAATGATAAGGATGCTTGTGATCAAGTAGCCGAGATTGCTCAATAGAAACAGGCCAATCCTCTTGCAAGACAACACTCGACCTGGAAACTGTCATCTAGTGTATTGACCAGCCCTTTGCACCAACTGACTACTTCTTCCAGGCTTTGGACCATTTCTTGCAAGGAAAAAGATTCAGTTCTCAACAAGCTGTGGAAAATGCCTTTCTCAATTTCATCCATTCACTCTCCAGGCTTCTTCGCTGCTGGCATACACAAGCTACCGCTAAGATGGCAAAACTAGGTTTGCCATTTGATTAATGGTACTGCTTCTTGTTTGAGATGTAATAAACTGAACTTTTTTTTTTTTTTGAGACAGAGTCTCACTCTGTTGCCCAGGCTAGAGTGCTGTGGCGTCAGCCTAGCTCACAGCAACCTCAAACTCCTGGGCTCAGGCGATCCTTCTGCCTCAGCCTCCCGAGTAGCTGGGACTACAGGCACGTGCCACCATGCCCAACTAATTTTTTTTCTATATATATATATTTTAATTGTCCATCTAATTTCTTTCTATTTTTTTTTTTAGTAGAGACGGGGTCTCGCTCTTGCTCAGGCTGGTCTTGAACTCCTGAGCTCAAGCAATCCACCCGCCTCGGCCTCCCAGAGTGCTAGGATTACAGGCTTGAGCCACCGCGCCCGGCCTTAAACTGAACTTTTAATTTGATATCAGACATTTCAGATTTAATGACCTAATATTAACTTAGGAAGATGTCATCATTGTTGACTTTTTCTCCCTTAGGAGAGTGACACTTTTTACCCACCTTTTCTACTCTTTGGTGGGTTCTAACAGGTGCTTTTGTGACCAAGAATCTAGCTGGGAGTAGCAAAGGCCTCTGCCCCTGAAGTCTCAGGCTTGGAAGTTACCAAAGTGGGCTCAGATAAACTGTCATCTCCTGTTGCCAAGCTTGGGCTCTGGCAGCCCATCCGTCTTCCCCCAGCAGTGCTGAGGGTGGTTTTCATGGAGAAGGTACGTGCCAACTGAAGGGGCATACTTGTGTCCTGCCCACGGCTTCCCCAATGGAGGCTTCTGTGTACGCAGAACTGCTAGAGGCAGTCCTGTCCAGGTGAGTTCTGAGATTGAGACTGTGATGCTGGGACCTGAGGACTGGACAGTGGAATACTGGGGTCCTCTGGCCCTGAGAACATGCTGTGCAGGAGGGCTGGTTCTAGCGTTAGGATTCCTGGAAGCTAATTTGGCACGGCCTGTTTGATCTCTTTCCTGTGCTGCTGCTACACTGACAGCCTGATTCCATGGCTACTTCGGAAGACCCAGGCAAAGCAGATCCGGGTCAGAGGACCTTCCTGGCTGTGCAGTTACGCAGCACTTAGGGGTTGAGGACAGGATCAGCCAGAAGGAAGTAGTGGGAGGGCGCTTTCCCTCCTCTTGTGCAGGTGGCCCTCTGGGCCCGCTCGGGGTCTCTTCTGCCGCCCACAGGGCTTCTTGAGGCAGAGACTGTCTGTTGTCTTCCCATTGCTGGTGGGGAACCAGCTTCCCAGCCTCGCTGTGCCCTGACTCTGATGCCTGGTGAGAAAGCACCAGGATAAGTGGAAATCTGCTCATGGAGTGACAGAGCGGAGGCTTTCTGGAATGTGAGGCTGTATCTGCTGGAGCAAAGGCAAACGGTGGGCTTTCTGGGCAGATACTGCTGTGTGCTGTGTTCCTGCCCCCATCTCTCCAGTTTCTGTGAACCCAGAGGTGGTAATAGCTTTCTCAGAGCCCCTTGGTGGTTCTCTCTTCCAAATGCTGCTATTGGGAGCAGGTCAGCTCTTGGTGGGCAGTGTACCTCCTCCTAAATGCAGGCACTTGCTGGGACGAGTGTGACCTGGCATTTTCTGTTCACTCTGCCTAGGAGCTGTCACCATTCGCAAGTGGCATTATTTATGTTGTGCTGCTGTCCGTACCTGCACAAACCCTGGCGAGATGTGTGGGAAGGGGTGGCATGACTTAGCTTAGACCCACCCTCTCCTATCTTCACCTCTGCAGCCAGATTCGTTGGCTGATGTTCACTGCTCACTGTCTACCCCGTGAAAGGTAGAATTCAGTTTTGTCAGTAGTCTTTAAGTGTTCGTCCCAAACAAGTACGTTAGAAAAACCGTTTCCCCCTCCCTGTTCTCTCGTCTTACTTTTTTCTTCTCAGATTTCTCCCTTCCTAGAATGTCATCTCTGCTTAACACTAACGTTCACCTCTGTTTTTTGGAAGTGCAAAAATCTCAGTTTATGTCTGTTTACAGCTCTATTCACTGCTCATGGCAAGGGGGTCTGTATCCGTGGGTTGATTTCGTAGCTGATCAGAGGTTATGGCAGGCCTTGGCCCTGGCTCCCGCGGGAACACAAGGCTGCTTCCTCAGAGAGGAGACCCAGAGTCCACGTGGCTGGACTTAGTGATTAGCAGGTTAACTTCAAGTTTGCCTTAG